GGCTGAAAGTTGAAATTTTTTTTTTACCAGATTAATGATTATTTCTATGATTCAGCTAAACCCAAAGTTGTAAACTAAGCCAGGGAGCTAAAATCAATCAGCTAGCTAGTGGATAAAGCTGATCAAATTGATTATTTTTGTTCATGTGTTTATATTTATTATTACCCTTATGAGTCTGTTAGCTGTATGAGATTCTTTATTTGACAGACATAGTAAAAGTAACCATGTAAGTCACACGTGCTTCACAGGTGACAGTACAAGAAACCATCACAAAGGTCATGAAACGCACAAAAAGAAAATGTTACAAAACAATTAACAGAATTTATTCTAACAAATAATTATGAATCAAAACCGCCAAAGTTACTATGATGTAGATGTTGACCACATAATGTCATACTGGCGAGGTCTAAAGCCTGACACGTGAGGCCACTCAGTGTATGAAGCAACTGCCTGACAACTGTGAGTCATAAAAGTCATTGTTAGCAGTCACTCAGAGGAAGTGTGTGTCTTTAGTGTGGAAGGAAGGAAAATGTTTGAACAGACTTGTTAGCCAACACGCTGGAGAACTGGAGTCTGGTAAGTGAAGGTTTTGCTTTCCCTTTTTTCCATTAAAGTCATGCAAGCAGAGTTAATGCCCTCCAACTTGTGGTGTAGCATTACACTGAACCCCATGAAATTACGCTAGCTGTGCCTTAACCAATTTCATATGTTTACCGAGCAGCAGGCCTTTCTGCGCCGAGGTGTCTTAAAACTCATTCATGACTCCGGGGCGGCAGGAGAGCTTTTAAATACTGATTCACAGAGGCCCTGACAGACAGCTCATGTGAGTCTGAGAAATTACTGTAACTCATCGTTAATTTCAGGCAGGCTAACAGTAAAAGATGCTCTAAAATGTGAAAGTGTGACTGTCCCAGCAAGATTGAGCATCTCTAAACACACTTTTCATCACTTTTATGAGAGTCAAGTGGCCGCTGCTGAGCAAAGCAGACATAGGAGGAAGTGGCTAATGACTGCTGGATGTTTACTCAGGGACACATACAGCAAGTTCATTCGCCCCCCCTCATTGACTCACTCACCTTCCTCCCTCACCCTATGACACTGAACAGGAACTATTTATAGCATCATCACTTTACATGACTCACAGTGCTGCTTAGTACAGTATATTGATAGATGCTACTTTGCCATCCTCAAAGAAAGCTATTGGTCTTTGTTCCATGTTGTTACTCTTAACTAAAACTGACTATTAGCTAGGACTGGGTGATTATATGATTGTGATAAATTTCTGTGATCAGCTGTGAGCATATTAGCTCGTTAAAACATAGCGGAAATGTGTGTCACAACAGCCAATCAGAGTTGAGCTTTTACTGCTCACTTCTGTAAGTTACCGGAGAAGTAAACAGGAGAAGTAAACAGAATGACCGAACGTGGAGCTAAATGCAAAGCTGAGGACAGCAAAATACATGTCAGCCATGACTTTGAGTTATCCTCCGAACATGTTATTGTTGAAAAGTTATTCAACATCGGTTGTGTGGTGTTGGTTTGGGTATCTCCAAAGTGACGTCGAGTAATTAAGCTGATGTGCAAGGTATGTCGGCGTTCAGTGCCCTCAAAAACTGGCAACACAACAGATCTATTTAATCATTTGAAGAAGTACTTCCCGAGTGATTATGAGGAAAGCATGAATGTGAGCACAAGTAGCATTAGCAGTTTAGCCACAACTAGCGGTGCAGCCACCAGACTAAAGCAGCAATCAATCGTATCATCTACGTTTACATCATGTAATGTTTACATTTTAAGGCGTCTTCATTATCTCTGAGGGGGCGATTTTTTGGGTCTTGCATACCTGCAGAAACACTTAGCACTGTAAACTAGTTCACTGTATTATTTAGTATTTATCTACATTTGTTGTACTGTTGAGTTCAAATGTTTTTATATTTTTCTAAGTGTATCTTATTCTTTATTTACTTTGTATGTTAATAAAATGTTGAACTAATCTCTAGTTTCTTTAGTTTTAAGTACAGATGCTTTAAAACTGGCAGTTTAAAAAAAAATTGTGATAATAATTGAGATTGGACGATATAACAAAATCTATCTTGACCTTTTTTTTTTTTTTTGCCAAATCGCTTACTATTAGCTAAATCCACCTCGTAAAGCCTGTGAGTGTCTGGGTTCTTCCTATTGTCTCAATTTCCATGTTAAAAAAAAAAAAAAATTATGTCACAAAGCCATTTACAGGAGGCAGCTTTATGCCTCCAAATTTCATGTGTTTTGGCAACATTTAGGGACTTTGTTGAAAGAGATTCCATCAGTTTTTGACTAATCCCATTATTAAGGTTTATGTCTTTTAAGAAGTCCAGATCAACTCCCTCAACAAAGGTAAATGTGATGGTGTTTGAATAAAACTGAGAGAGGCAGTGAGATTTCTGTTGTTGACTGATCGAGCCAGGTAGAGACTTGATCTTGTACCAATATGTCAGCACTTCATTTTTATTTTATTTAACCTTTGACAAAATCATTACGGGATATTGAAAACATCAACTTGAATTTATTTGTTTTTGTTCACTGTGTCCATTTTAATATTCTAAACTAAAACTGCACTTTCGATTTTTGAAAGGTAAACAACAAATCACTCAACTATATCTGCTTTATTTTGTAGTACACGAGCGCGGTACAGCAGCTAGTGACACTGAGGATAGTTTGGGTGACAAACATGATGCTCTTTTTTATCCAAAAAGTATCAAGTATCTAAAATAACTATAAATTTCAAGAAGTAGATATTCTTTGTAAGATTTAATGCATAACGTCTGAATAGAAAATGATCTACAGCAACAGTAATTCCAAGGAGGAGCAGAGCTTGGCAAAGGTTCAATCTTTATTCCTTTATCTGACATCACAGCAAAAGGACCTGGATTCTACGAAGGATTAAGGCTTTGTTGCCCACTGAGCACAGATGGCAAGAAGGTGTCCTTGGCCTTCACTAAGCTGTACCATTTATGGGGCTCATACAATAGGAGACTCACAAGAGTCCTCCAGCTGAGCTTGTTGAGTGCATGTGCATCAGGGATTTCCACTGGCTGAGTTTGTTGACTTTCTCTGTTGTAATATTCAGAAACATCTCTCATTTCACAGCCACACCTTTTTTTATGTGATGAAAGCAGTGAGTATTAAACTGTTCAATCTACACAGCTTCAGTGGTCGTAGGTTTGAAAAGGCTGTGGCGTCTGGTTTTCATCACACAGGTGTTACTTTGTCATGTGTCAAACTGAGAAAGGAAATGTTCATTTTGATAGACAGCAGACTCATTCCTCTCATCCAGGTCTCCTGAAAGCCCCACAGTGTGAGCTCTGCCCTGTTTTAAATGAGCGACTGTTAAGTATTTAAACCATGCAGAAAGGGCCCCTCGGACAGACATACAAGCTGTAGGCAGGTTTTCTGAGGTCATTCTGAGTGACAACGTAAAGGCAAAGAGGTCAGCAGGGACTCGGTACCTTTGCCTCTTTTATTTCCTCCAGGGTGAACTGCCGGTCCCCTACTGCCTCCTGGTCCCAGGCAAAGAGGCGCCTGAGGAGACTGAGAGGGAGGTCAGGCTACAGCTCAGACATAGAAACCTCTGCAGAAATTCTGCTCATACCAAGCTCTGCTCATCCAGAGCAGGACCAATGGACTCTGTTCTCCTCTTTCTCTGCAGCAGGAAATAAAAAACCCATGGTGCCATGCAGGCTAGTGATACAGCTCATGATGTGTGGCCATGTGCTGTTTTTCTTTCCACGCTTAATCTGCAGGACGACAATGTGCATACTGGAGCGTAGGGATTAATCCAGGAAGTGTTCAGAAGCACAAAAACTGAAATATTGCTTACTGCTAAGGTGCTCACCATCACAATGCAAAAGACTGAAACAAGATGTCTTTCCGCTACTCTTCCTGACTTTGTTTCAGGAGGGCTAAAGGATTTCCATTCCTACTGTCCCATGAACATGAACAGTTTCAGGTCAATCAACCTCAATGTCTTTCCTGCAGCACCCAAACCAGTCCGCTGGACTGCTGCTCCCAGTAATGAGAGCTTTGTTGTGATTTTCATCAATGCCGGCGATGGCTCATTTAGCCCCTCTACATAGAGACTTTTCGGTTACAAAGAAGAAGCGAGAGGAAAACATAAAGGTGGAGAGTGAGGGGGGATGAATCAAACTATTTGTCCTGTGTGTTCTGGGTCATACAGTGCATGTCTTTGTGTATACCTGAAGGGCTGCACCGAGGTCAGGACACTGACAGACACACAGGTGTGGCTGCCGTAGATAAGCAGAGCTGCCAAGTCAGAGTATAGAGATAATACATGACTTCAGCACTGAGGCAGAGGGGGAAGTCAGACCTGTGATGTAGGACAATGCAAACATGGCATGTTGAAGTTCTAATTCAGTTAATACCAAAGATATTTGTCCAGTTCATTGAAAAGAAAATGTAAATCTGAGTTCCAGTTAAAAACAGCTTTAACTGACAACGTTTGGTGTAAACATGTTTTTAACTAATTTCACAAATACCCTTAAAGCTGCTTTAGTCCACATCATTATATTACAGAGTCAATCAAAGTCTCCAATAGCACTTCCAATCCTTAAAAACATAATTTATCTAATTAGAGGGGCATCAGATACAGTTTAATGAATATTTATATGTGAAACACCACTTGATTCAGTTTAATGTTTGAATTGTAGCCCAAACATGAAGCTTAAACAGTTAAGGAGACAGAGATGTCTATTCAAAGAGAAATGCAGAGTTTAAAAGTGAATAAATCAGAGACAAATATCCAATTGTTGGATAAAAAAATGATTGATCACATGTAAATGCTAAATTGGGTAAAGAGGAGACAATTTTGTTAAAGATCCACTCCGATGAAAATCGTGTTTTTCTTGTTTTTCACATGTTCATTTGACATTTTTCTGATGCTACAATACATAAAATGAGAAAACTAAATGCGAAATTGCATTTCTGAGTATATCTGCATTCAATCACTGTGAATCTCAGGCAGACCCAACTGGCAGGTTCAGAGACAGTGAGATTTCATACGTACCCAATCCAAGCTCCACCCCCGGAGCCCCGCTTTGCAGGCCACACTCAGAGAGATTGAGTGGACGATCGTGGAACAAGTGTGTGCGTTAGTGGATTGCAATGCTTGTAAGAAAGCTAATCACAATACTAGCTTTCATCTTGTCCCTAAAGACATTAGTGTCTGAGAGCTGAATAGCTCCTATGTTACCTGCCACATCTACTGTAGAGGAGTGTGCAGAGCAGTGCTGTCTCCGCCCAAAACTCAGAGGCGAATTGCTAATGAGCTACTGGAGCTCTGCAGAAGAAAAGTCCTTGAAATTGACACAGGTAATGTGATTTTGGCTAAAAACTTCATAATCACAATTTAATGACCACTGATAACACTTTAAGTAGTAAGAAAGAAAAAAAAGATGGGAGTGGGACTTTAAAGCCTTGCTGTTAAAGCTGGTCGTTTAATTCTACATTTTCCTTTTGAAAATTGCAGCTTCAAATAGAGGATAGTTCTTTTTTTTTTTTTAGCTCTATTCATTCATCCATCAATTTATCTTCCTTTTCAACCATCCATCCATCACAACATGCAGGTAGAGATTTTTTTTTTTTTTTAAAGGAGTTTCTGCTCTTATTTCTGCTTCTCAGCCACTGCCAATTAAAACATCTGCAACTGTGGGCAAACCCCTACAATCCCTTCATTGTGCCGGGCCTTCGACCTGTCAAGACCTACTTTGTTTTCAGTGTCCACACTATGTCTTCTGCTGCCACATTCCCACAGCTCCACACAAAAAAGCAAGCCTTCTGTGGTCAGGGCTGCAGAGGAAAAACAAAACCTTGTTGCCAGCTTCACATGAGAGCAGTGTGAGATCCTCATGTGATATTGATGAAAGACTCCACCCAGATGGGTTATAGATTTTTCTCAGCCCCCTTTGAAGAATGTCAGAACCTCTTGTTTTTGTTCAGAGATTTATCAGGAAAAGAGATGAAAACCTGGTCTCTGGGGGTTTCTGTCAAGATCAGAGATACCTCTTCTCTTTTCCCTCAAATGCGCATGCACCCACATGGAGAGGATTCTTTCCAGAGTTAGCAAAAAAACTGCATGAAATGATCAAACAGAGCTGCAGACTCTGACTTAAGACTCCTGTCCAGTTGTCCAAACTCTGAAGTCTGAATCACAGGGGAGAGCCGTTCCTTTAACTCTCCCATCCCAGAGAGGAATGACGCAGAGTTTTTACTACAGCCTCCTGTAACTTGGCTTGAAAAAGAGAAACAGCGAAGAGTGTTTCAAAAGGTTCTCACCATAAGATAAAATCAAATAGATAAATAATGTATATAAAGGTACTCCTTTTTCTTTTTTTACCTCAGTCTTTTATTTATCAAGGGTGGTTCCCTCTTTAGGCATGAAAATTTGATCGTGCCAATACTCAGTCGTTTTCACAAATAACCTCTCAAAAAATCAACCTAGAATGTATTTCACAGCAAATACTGCACGAACACATATCTTCATGGTGCTCTCCACTACAGCTACTGCAAGGAACTTTTGGTTTGTGTCGATTTTGATGCCCCCTGTGGACAAAGTAATGTCTCCTATCTCTTGTTCTGTACATGTGAAAGTAATGAAAGCAGTTTTAGGCTCTCAAAATTACCAGTCATGCTGATGATGGTCCTGTATGCTTCTAAAGGTCATAAAGAGTCAGCAGTGTCAGTTTCAGTCTATTTCTCCCATAGACTGTGTATACCATGGACAACTTGGTTCCACCTTCTGCCAGTATACAGATTTGAAGCCAAAAAGCTCTCTGTAATTCCTCCTTTTTTCTCCACTTCCTGAATCAACATTGCACAGTAGCGTTGTACGCATCCTGCGGGAGAGTCGCCGTGATGACGCTCGGCTCAAGCAGCGTAACCCCTGGGTAAGCTATGCAATCTTCTTGCACCCATTGGCTGTATCAAATCTCAATTATAGAAAACATGAACCTTCTAATAACTTTTAAGAATGGAGCTGTACAGAAAAAAAGAGGACTTGAGCACAAACCAGTCTCACAGTAACTACATGTCAACACCGCAACCAGGGGGGAGAAAAATATATATTCTGTGTAATAAATATTTTAAGTTTGTCCACAGCTCCATAGGGATTGCTGGAGGAGGCGGGATTTATGACCTATACTGCATCCTGTCAGCAGAGGGTGCTGTTCTTGGGGTGGCTTCACCCAGTGAGGAGGCAGATGGTGTCTATTCTATATATAGTCCATGGTTTCTCCACCAGTCAAAAACTCTATGTATCATTTAGTATTTAAACAAGACATCATCATGGTTTCTACGTTTTTTTATTGCTGTATTAATAGAAGCATTGGTAACTTCTGAGCCAGATTTCATGCATCATGAATCAGAGACAATCATTAACCCTAACTTTGTTTATAATTAGCTTCCATACAGTTTACCCAGTATAACCAACAAACAGATGTCTGTTTACGTCATCACACTGCTCAGCATTCTGTCGGACTGCTTTGGCTCTCACAGCCAAAAGGATTGATCAATCTACACAGTGGGTCATTGCTCTTCTTCTGTTTAAAGACATAAAGTTTATAAAAAGTGATAATAGGTGAAGAGTTGTATGCTCCCAGACTGTTAGGCCCGAACTACACGAATGCGGATATATTTCAAACCGCACATATTTATGTCCGATTAGGCCTCCCTACCACACCAAAACAGGAGTTTGGAGCACTCAAACCGGATAAATCTGAATCCGGAAAAACAAGTGGAAAAATAAAAAAATATCCGTATCCCGTATCCGTAGTGGATTCGTGTGGTTGGATTTTTACGGATCGATGACGTCAAACCGCAGCTCGCGCATGCGAATTAAAAAGAAAAACAACAACAACAACGGCGGACAGACAGGGTATTCTTTACGTTTGTTTTGCCCTTTTGGGGCTAATTTCAGCCTTGCAAGTGAAGCTTGTTTTATACAATTACATCCACCAGTCAGCCAGCTCACAGACGCGTCTGCTGCGGCCAATACTTTTATTGGTCACATGGTCCGTCACATGGACCCGACGCACTAGCGTAGCTTCCGCAAACAATGCATGAGGCATCACGCTGTTACGATTCATCGGCCAATCAGTTAGCTTTGTTCCTGAATTTTTTTTAAGCGGCACCAGATAGGATTGAGTTTGAAGGCTACGTGTGGACGCAGATATTTTTGAGAACGAACACGTGTGGACAGATACATTTATTTAGACGGGAGTACAAAAATATCCTGATAAATAAATATCCATATACGTGTAGTTCGGGCCTTAGTTGTGCACAAACATTGGGCACTAATCACTATTTAATGCTTTAAAGCTGTTCCAGCCGGGGTCAAGTATTAGTCCTAAGATTAAATGACATTTCAATAATTGATTGGGGTGAGGCACATTTCACATGTTCACATGCTCTTTGGGGTCGAAGGAGACAGCCATTTTTCTCACCTTACATATTTCTTGACCTTCAAAACTAAAGGCTCTTCCTAATGGGGTCGTCCTATGAGAGAAAGCCACAGCATACTGATATAATTGTGTTGAGGTTTTTGCCACTGTAGCTGTGCTATTAAGTGTTTTCTTCACAGAGTCCTCCACGTGCCTGACTGCATTCATCCCAGGAGCCACATATGGAGGCCACATGTGCTTGGGAGCTGGGTGGACTGCAGCCAGGCCTTACACAGCTCAGGGGGACATTTTATGCAAGGCTGAGATTGCTAGATCAACCTGGTTGCTTGTCAGTCATTTTTAATTACAAGGACTGCTTATTAATATGAGCTCCTTCACTATGGCTGAACAGAAAGAAGGAACATGTGGTTACACAGGGTACAAACTGAGCTTTACCTCTGCCCCAGCTTGACTGGGCTTTACTTTGATGTATGAGAATCCATTGGAGCTCAACCCAAAAACATATGCATAAAACATTAAACACACCTGAAACATTCCCTGCTTTTCGTGGGATCCTCTTATACCCTACAGTCTGTCAGCATGGGAAAAGTGTAATTGTGTACCAAGCAGATCAAAAAGAAGATTACAAAAATAAGCAATACATGTTTAAAGGGACATTCCATTAAAATTTTAAGTTAGAGTCAAACACACCGTAACACCGAGTTAGACACCCCCTCCAGAGATGAATGTTGTTGACCGCTTGCTTCTCTAGTTATACCAACTTTTGTAATGACTGCAGATAGCAATACACAGCGATCTACGTCTCCACGCACAAACCTCAACCAAAATGCCACTCTATAGCCAGAAATAATGCTCAGAACAGCACCTAACTTCATCAACAGTACATATAGGGTCCCAGCCATAGAAAGAGCCACCAAACATCTTTTTAACTTTGCCTGATTTCTTTAGCAAAGAGACTAAACACAACTTACCCACTTTTTTGTGGGGGAGCCCTTACAAGCCGATCACCGAGTGCAGCGGAGTTTCGCAGCTCAAGGAAGATCATTTATGATTATTACTTAATGGAAATGCAATCAGAGATCTTATGTATCTTGTAAGTGCACTGGAGATGCGGTAGTTCTTCTGCCTTAGTATCTCGGTCTGATTGCATTTCCATGAAGTGATGATCAGAAATTTTTCACTGTACCTGGTGATCGACTTGTCAGAGCTCCCCCACAAACAAGCAGCTGCTGGAGGAGGGTGGGTGAGTTGTGTTTAGTCTCTTCGCTAAATAAACCAGGCAAAGCTAAAAAGGTGCTGCTGGTTACGGTTTGCACGTGGAGACATAGCCCACTGTGTATTGCTATTGTGCGGTCGTTAAAGTTAGTATAGCTAGAGAAGTAAGCAGTGGACAACATTCATCTTTCGAGGGGGTGTCTAACTCAGTGTTACGGTGTGTTTGATCCTAACTTAAATTTATGCCGGAATATCCCTTTAAGTCTGAAACCCCTCGTGATGAATTCTCGCAATCATCTGACAAGCTGCACTGTCATGAAACTCTTAAGAAAGGATTTCCATGACGCCAAAATTCCCCTTCACTGAATAATCAAACGTAAAGTTGTTCCATGCGTGCAATTTAAAACAAATAAGAAACAGACCAACGATATCCATCATCAAAGAGCTGATTATATGCACATGCCAAAGAGTTATTGCTGAGTGGGCTGCTGCTGAAAGGCAGTCAGAGAGGAAGAAGAGTACATGATGTGTGCATGACTTCTGCACAGGTCACACAGTCACACAACATGTTGTCTCTTGTTCACACCTGTCTTTATATGCATCTCTATGCATGTATCTGCAGCCACTGTTACAAATAAGCCTCATATAAGCCCTAATCCTGTTAGGTAACCTTTGCAAAGTTAATGCTGGCCATGCAGCCACTCTGCGATGTTCAGAATAAGTGGATGTTATCATTTTTGCTCCCATCTGACTGGATTTTGTTTGACGTAAAGTTTTTGCATGAAATCAAGTGACAGTTTTTGTAAATTGAGAACAAAACGAAATTCTCTCAAATGGTGATGACATAATGTGAGTTTGACAGACTAAAGTATTTTCTGCTCTTTCATCAGCGTTGACTCTCCCCCTGATGCTTGTGAACACCCCTTGTGTGTGCTAAGATATTTTTATCTCACATAGAAGTTTCTGAAGTTTTCTTGGAAGTTGAAAAGTGAAGGCTTTTTTGTTACACCCTGCTTGCCGTCTCAAGTGGGAACACAACTTTTTACTTTTGCTCTCTGACCCTAAACGTAGTTGAATGTTGCTCAACAGTATGTGATGGAGATTTTGTCATGCCAGAAGTTAATGCGGATTAAAGTTGGGAAACAATTACTTCAACACAGTGATAGATATTTGGCAGCATTTCACAACACAACAATAAAAAACATGATAACAAACTTTGGTGCATCAGTGGTCAGTCTGTGTGATTTTAAGTTTGGATACACATGTATTTAGCTGTTTTTTTTAATACCATTGAATTTGTGCTCTGTTGGAAAAACCCTCTGCTCTGAGAATTTCCTCCAGGCTACAGACGTACACTGTGATAAAGTCCTGTGCATCTCCACTCACTTAGAAATAACTGGATGTACACAGGGAACAGAAAAGCTTTTTGCAGGCTCTTGTAGCGGCTGGAGACTTTCAATGTACATTAGCATCAGCAGGTAACAAAGTGTAGGGACCTTAAACCTCCTCTGCCTGGCATCTGCATGCAGGACAACCAAGGAAATGAGACAAAAGGACGTGTTGGACGAAACAGTGAAGGTGAAGAACAGGACAGAGGTAAAAGGGGATAAAGACGCCTGGTGGTCCCAACAGAAAGTATTTCAGATCAGTAGTTGTCAGTCAGTCAAATGAAAGTTCTTGTGCTGGGAACCAGAGAGTCACCGGTTCAGGTCTTGTTACAGACTAAGTTTGAAATTGAACTAATAGCTGAAGAGGTGGTACTTCATTTAATGGGGACTATCAAGTTTCCACGAAGGAAGGTGATGAACCCTCTATTGCCCAGGGTGCTCCTCTGTGTGCATTTCCTTTAATCTAAGCCTCTCTGTTAGTGTACGTCCATAGTTCGTCCAGCTGTTGTTGCACTTTATGCAATTAGTTGTTACTTAAGTCTGTAACCCAGTTGTTAAAGAAATATTTTTTTAGTATTTTGCACCGTTTTAAACAAGGAATTTAGAAACATTGAGGCTCTGCAGTTTAAAGTCTGTCTGTAGGTTGTTCCAGGAAAGTCTAGGAAGGAGCTCAGCTTTCTCTCTGCACCAGTTTTAGCTATCTTCTGTAACAGACTTTTTGTTGAAAAAAACATAAAAACTAAAGAAGTGGACTAGAAAAGTTCATACACACAAACTTAACAATAGCATCAAACTTGAATAAAGAGATTGCAACCTAACAAGCTAATAACACATTGACAAAATTTCCGCTGAAGAAGGGTCTTTTCCCTGCAGGTTTTGTGAGGGGCTCGTCTCATGAAGTGTTAAGTCTTGGTTGAAGATCTTTGATGCATCAATCAGTACAAGGAAGTGGAGTGGAGACCCCAAGACTCAAAACAGACCAATTGATATATGTAACAGATAGAAACATTGAGCTGAGGCTGACTTCTCTGCAAATAGAAACGAGTGAAGAAACTGTCAGAAAACCGCTGAGCCAAGTGGTCACACTCACTCTGGAAACATTTATGCTTGTTGTCAAATCTGAGGATTTAGTCTTATTGGAAACATATCCCTTCACTGTAAAAGAATCTCTTTTAGTTCTCCTTATTAGTATTTTTGACATTTACATGAGAGCATGTAAGAGTTGTTCCAAAGATGCAAGACGAATGCTGGCGTCCTGTCAAGTGCTGGGTGTGGCTGCAACTGCTTGTCAGTTTGAAAAGGTCAAAATGACTTTTGTTTTGTATCCCGGATATGAAACTTTGTCGACCCACAGCCACTGCAGTTTTTTAGACAACACTAATAAGAGAAGAGTTTAGCTCGAGGTGTGCACTGTACGTGTGTGAGACAGAAATTATTGCTGTTCCAGGTGTGTTTCTAGGCACATGCAAGTTTGTGTGTGTGTATGTGTGCTTACAGTGTGTGCACACAGAGAAAACTCTTTAAATGACCCAGAGTTAGTCATGCCTGGCACTGGTCCCCCAGAATGAGGGAAACATAATCTCTCTTCCCCACGAACTTTAAAGCTTAATAAAGAAAAATTGCAGTGCCCCTCAAGGAGTAGTCTTTGAGAAAACAGGTCCTGGTCTGTGCTTCACTCTGGCATGTAATCACAGGTTACAGGGGACAAACAAAATGACAGTTTTACACAACTTTAAGTCTACCTGTGCTTCTGTGATTTGACAGCTGGAGACCTTTAGGGAATGTTTTATTCTTGTTGTGTGGCACTTCTCAATCAGACCTACTTTCAAGTTTGTCGAGAAAAGGATGTCTGCTTCAAACAAGTTTACAAATGTGATAACACAACTACATGATTTAAGAGGAAACCAGCAGTAAAAATGTTTACGACTTTTAACTCCCAAAATCAGCCAGTGGAGGGACTTGAGCAGCATTTTTGATATTTTCATGACATATAAACATTGTACTTAAATAAAGCAATAAAGCAACACTGAATGTAAATATATGATTACGGTTCAATATCCATAGTTGGGTGTTGGAAGTCCATCCATTGGGTGTTTCTACTTTATTTGACTGTACAGTTCATCCCATTGCCTTCACTGCATTATCCACATCTATTCCCATTTAGAGTGACAGGGACCAATTCCAGCTGTCAGAATAGATCCTGGACAGGTCACCTGTCACCACAGGTCTGGCACACAGAGTCAGTAATGCACACACTTACACTGAGGTGATCAGTCAGAATCACCGCACCACCAAGGAGACTAAACATAAAACTCAATTTATTAAATTGACATTATTTAAGAAAGCTTTGACACACTTTAACACCTGACTGTGCACCTGCTTGAACAAATTGCTGTGTAAAAGACATCGGGCCTGATCTACTAAAATTCCAAATAGTGACCACTAAATTGTGTGTGCAAACTAAAAATTGCATGTGCTATTAGTAGGCGTGTTGCGGGTGATCTACTATCATTGCGTGCGCAATTGATAACAGGTGCAAAAGTGATGAGACTGCCCTCTTTAATATAGGGTTTTATGTGCACTATCGGCCGTCACCATGGAGAGTTTGTGAGAGCAGAGTGATCGTAGATGAAAAATGAAGTTTGAAGCCATGGAGTTGCACATATCGTTTCAGGGAACTGCATAAAAGGCAAGGCAAGTTTATTTGTAAAGCACAATTCATACACAAGGCAATTCAAAGTGCTTTACAGATGCAAGAAGATATACTAGAAATCAAAAAAGGGATTAAAACTATTTAAAATCAATGAGACAAACAGATTAATTTTTTTGTGTGTTCTGTGTTTGACCTTAGTATTCGCAGGAAAAAGCAGTGTTACAAAGAGTTTTTCAATAGGAGATACGGCATGGATCATTTTTGTGACTGGCTCCAAATCAGCCCTTAGGTCACCCAGTATCACTATCACTATTACTTAGCTATTTTTTATTTCTGACAGTCCATATATGTATGTCCAAATATGTTGACAAGAGCACAGAAGACTCTCTTTCCATCATCTATCATTGCACTTCTGCATCTTTCTCGTAATACTTAGCACGTGCCTTTCAAACATGCTAAATATAGACGCAAAACAGCGACTGCAATCGATTTCCGGGTTCGATAAATCACATTGCAGGCGCTAAATGATTTCATTTACATCTGCTCCTCCCAGTATTTTGCGCGGCC